TGCCAATCTCTAAGATTTGATATCATTAGTGGGGAAATTTAGTTTTTATGGATAGACGATAATTATGTTTATTTTAGGAAAATTATCTTTTAGATTTTGTAAGAGATGATCTAGTAATATACTATCTAAATTAATTTTTTTTAAATTTGGCAATAATATCTATTAAAAAGTAATTCTTAACTAATTAGGTAATAATTGTTTTAAGAAGTAACATTTCGAGAGGAATTTCATTTCTTTAAAGAAACGACTTTTTCATAAAATTAATAAATTAAATAAAATACATCTACCTACAATTTTTCATAAGATATAGAAAATACCAATGAAAATATATAGAGATTGTTTTTGTATTTTTTATGAAATCAATTTTAACCTCTCTTTTATATTTTTGTATAAACGTTTTGGGGATAGATTCCCATCCATTGAAGAGTATTCTGATAATCAATATTAATGGTGATTGTCTTAATAGCATGTAAATAAAAATCTAATAATATATCTAATATAGATAGTTACTTTGAGAATATAATGAGCATTCTTAAATTAAACATTTATTGTATTGAATCTGATTCCAATTATTGTTTATTAAAAGAAAGTAAAATTTCATGTTCTTAAAATGTTCAATAAGAGTGGAATTTAGATATAGAGATTCAATCTTATTAAGAATTCTTAATTTGTAATGAAATTTTTTTTAAATTATTATTTTCAAATTTTAGGCTACTTAGCGTTAGATTTTATAAAATTTATAATATATTGAATTTCTGAATAATTAACAAAATCATAAACATTAATATATCTTTTTTAAATCTTAAAGAAGAAGGAATAAGTTAAACATTAATGTATCTAGTAGGTTTTTGTAATTTTTTGATAAATTTCTTGTCTTTAAAGATTATTATTTCAAATTTTAAGCTATAAATTACATAAGATAACCAAAAGCCGTTTTTTTTCTTGGCTTGTAGTTAAAGTAAGTTAAATGAAAATTTAATAAGATTTATTGAAAACTAAATGATTCATTTATGATTAAAATAGGAATTAATAAATAACAATCAAAAAGCCTAAATGTAAGCAGTACTTAAATTATGATTTGACAATAATTTAAGTTTGTGAATTAAGAAAGTTATTTAACTACATTTGAAGAGTTAATAATGATTTAATATTAACTTTTAAATGTTAAAAAGAAATGGACTATATTTTGGTAACCATATTTAATAAATTCTTAGTTAGAACCAATTAGAATATTAATTTAATAAATTTGAAATCTATATTAACAAACATGACATAATTTATTAGAAAGGATAAATTATTGATTTTAAATGTATGATAATAGATGCTACGTGATTTTAACACATAAAATGATGATACTATATTAAGATTTTTTGAGGGTTGTTTTCTTGGAAAAGTTTAGTAAAACCTTTATTGGAAAAAGTAAAATAATATTAGAGATTGAATTAGATGATATTGTTATAAGCTACGATTTCGAATAATAATAATTCCAATATTCATATGAAATTAAAAGTTAAATCAAATCCTTTGCAATTAAAATTCTGAGCAGAAATTCCCTTTTTTAATTGTTAGATGGTTTGTATAAGCTGTAGTAAAAATAAGAACTAAATCTTGATCTGACAATTAATATTTAATTTTTAGGTTTTATTAAAAACTGCAATTCATTAAAATAAAAATTATAAGGCATTATTAATGTAACTCATAACATAAAATAATTAAAATTAAGAAAAACTAATTTTCATTCAGATAGAGGCACAGAAAAATTCAACAATATGATGACTTTAGTAAATCAAGTAAAGAAAGACTATAATTGGTACATACGGTTAAATAATTAATAATTTAGGATAGTGGTAAATTAATTCATTAAATCCGAATTTGTTAGAAAAAAAATAATAGTCAATTTTTATAGAATAGAAATTAATTTTATTATATAATAAAATAGATAGAGTTAATCAATCCTATTCTGAATAAATTGACAACTTCTAAAAAATATTAATAATTTAATAGAAGAAGTTTCTAAATAGATAGTATTAAAAATTATATTAATGAATAAAATTTTGCAAAGTATTGAAAAAATTGATATTTTTGGGGTTTCTTTATCACTACTTACGAACGAAAATAAATCAGCTTTTTAAAGTAAAGTAGGTGGAATAATCTCAGTGATTTCTGGTAGCTTAAGTCTTTCTTATTTTTTATTTATAATAGCATTATGGATTAATAATGAAATACCACCTAACATTAGTTCAAAATAATAAACAAAAGGTTATGCTGAATTTTAATGGACTGAACCATTAATTTAACTCACACTCGCTGATTTTACATCTGAAATTGATCCTTTTCGAAAAGAAAATAACATCATTACTCCATTTTTATTTACGTTAAAGAATTATAAAATTTATGAAGAGCCTATCCCTTTATTTAGTGATGAATTTTTATCTTCTTCATTTGTTATGAATAATGGAACATTGATTTTAAATAATGCGCATACAGAAGATGAACATTATCAAACAATGAAAGAATATTTATTAGTTTTTTCAGCTTGTTAAAATAGTTCCTTAAAAAATGGTGGTTATTGTGCTGATGAGAAAACAATAAATGAATATATGTCTAATCATCATGGATTTCTAATTTTAACAATTAGATTGAATTAATTTAATTATGTAAGTTAAAAATTAGAAATGTTCGTTAAATAATATTATTAAGCCTTTGATCCTAGAAGGTCTTCTTATTCTTAGGTAATGTTAAAATAATAAGAAACCATTCTTGATGATGGAATACTTTTTAAGAATGAAAAAAGTCACCTTTTTCTTAACAATTATGAATTGATAAATTAAGAGGTTGAAACATAATTTATGTCAGATACAATTGCATCTATTTCAGATGATATTTACCATTTAAATATTTCAAATTCATATCTTTTTAGAATAGATAATATATCAGTTATTGAAAATATTAGTATGCCAAAACTTGGATAGGTTTTAGCTTAAATTGGTTCAATTGTTTAACTAATATTTTTATTAAAGTATGCTGCACTCTATTATAATAATCAATTACTTTAAAATTAACTATTACATGATATTATATCTATGTATTATCCAGAATTAAAGAACATTAAAATTAATATCTTTAATAAATTTGAATTTGATGAAGGAATTAATTAATTTTAAATTCCCATTTAAAATTTGAAATTAATTTATGGGTCATTATTAAAACGAGCTAAAGAAAAGTGTAGATTGAATAATATTATATATGAAATTTCTAGAATCTAATTTATTCTTGAATAATAATTTGGATATCGGATTTTATTGGGTAGTCATTAATTAGGAAAGAAATTATCGAAAAATTCTAATGAATATGCTATCGACAAAATCTCTGAATCAAATAGATTAGTTGTCAAGCCAGCAGAATAATTAGATCAAGACTTAGAATAAGAGAATTATATGAATGAACCTTTAGAGATCCTTATAAAGCATAATTGAATAAATATAATCATTATAAATCAATAATTTATCATTTTAATGACCCTTTTTAATTAATAATGATTAATCAAGAATCAGTTATATATAATAATTTTCATTGAGATAATCTTTATTATACAAATATTTGAATATTTATATCCATTTAGATTTACACAACTATTAAGAAACAACATAATTTGGTATATTACTGTCGATTTATGAAATTTATGTAATTTTACCTTTAGATATTAGTATCCTTAATGTCAAAACGATTAATATCATGCTTACATGATAAATTATATATATTTGTCATTCTATTAGCATAACCATTCATTCTATATCATTAAAAATTAAAGAGTTTTATTTTGACTACCTTAAACAATTATATTTTTATTATTATTATTTAATACTAAACAATAGATACAACTACTATGTCTATTTAGTTTCTATTAAGAAATCTATTCATCATTATATTAAATTCAAATATTTTAATTTATGAGTAACATCTACCCACTAATGTTGAATAATCTTTATTCATTGCTATTTGCACCACACCAAAATTTAATGAAACTGGATGAGGAGTTTTATATTAGATTGATGACTAAATTATCCAGTTGATGATTGTTTGAATATTCAATTGAATAGTCTGTAACTATAACAATAAAGTGTAAGCTTATAATTAAAATTTCATTTATTTCTGAATTTCTATCTTCTATTCTGATTCCAAGTTATATTTAAGTTTTTCATAAATATTGTTAATGCCAACTTTTATATTATGAATCAATAATATGGATTGTTGAGAGTGACTTATTAATCATTATATGGTATTTAAATTTTTGGTTACCATGAATTATTTTCAAGTTTATAAAATTTAAGTATCTGTTTCTAAATTTTTATTCAGCAACTAGATATGCTGATTCATTAATAAACATTTAATGATTCTATTAAATCTAAAATTGAAATAAAGAGACGATATAAATACATTCTGGTGTCATAGTGTTTTTACTTAATTATGATAAATATGTTGTAATTATCTTCCTTCGAAGGCAGATCCTTAAATGGTTTTGATAATTGAGCAGTTAAGATGAGGAAGATTATAACTTTATTTATGAATTACAATAATGAAAGTAGTTAAGATTGGTTATTATCAACTTAAATAAATTCAATATTATTGATTACCCTCAATAATAGAAATTCATTAAGTACATTAGAGTTTTGAATGAGATACTTGATAAGTGTGATCTATTGTCTTATTATCTTTTTTATTAGTTACTATAAATATTTTGTTAATAACCTACTCAGATGGTTTAATTGTATTTTTACATGGCATCAAATTACTTTTATTCAATTTAAGATTTCTGCAATTACATTTAAATTATGATTATGATATCTAATGAGTAGCATAGCTGATTCAAAATTAAAATAACTATTTAGTATTGTTTAATTAATTAATAAATGAGGGATTCAAAAGATATGGGTTTCCCTTTTCATTTAACACAAATAATTTAGTGCTGAAATTAAATTTATTTAATCGTTACCTTCTTTATTTTGCTCTAAAATGAATTTTAGCATTACACAATTCTTATGAATTTTTGAAAAGGCAACCAAAATCATTCATAATCAAATTAGTTAGACTTATGATGGATTAGGATTAATAGAACTTTAAAGCTGATGCTATGCATTTATAAAAAAGAAATTCTAAATTAAGCAAAAATAAATGAGCCTCAAATTATTATGACAAGTTATAGTAATTCATTAAGAATAAGAAAAAATTTATGTGTAGATAATTAATAATAACATAATTAACTTGTATAAATTTCAGCAAAATTCATTAAAATTCTTATTTTGTTTTAATAAGTTATTGTTTTGAACTCTAAAAAAATGAAGATTATTTAGTTTAGAGCTTTTGCTGAACTATTTAATGAAAATTTGCCATTTTATCATCTAAGAACATTATTCTAAAGCATGTTACTTCTTAAAAAAGTTCATTAAGAAGAATTAGCTATTTAAAGAAATTTGGCCCTGTTCATTCTAGTAATTTTAATAATATAAACAACTTTTAAGTTCGAATTATTCAGATTAATTACTCTCTCATATAATAAATTATTTATAAAGAATTTACAATTTAGATAGTTTGTATATAAAATCTATGGAACAGAAATCTAAGAATCTGTTATAACTTTTCTTTTATAATTATTACTAATTTATCATCAGTTTAATACTTTAGAAAATTATAAGTTTTAATTTAAAGAATACCAATCTATTAAAAAAAGTATGAGCATTACAATAATTAGTTATATAAATAAGAGAAAATTTAAACAAAAAAATAATTAATTTATAAAAATAACTTATGGATTGAATCTTCATTTCCCAGCCAAAATTCATCCTATCATTTAAAAGTTAAAAGCGGATAAAGTTTTAAAAAATGGAATTTTTAATGTCAAGCAAAATAGTTACAACCAATACCGAACAGTTTGTTTATTAAGATGTATAGTAGTTATTATATAATATTGTTCAAACAGAAATTAACTAAATTGTCGAAGAATTTATTAGCCAAAAAAGCATTGAAAACCAATTTTCACACCATTCTTTAAATTCTATGCAAAATTTAATCATGTTGGCATATATTAAATCAGTAATTCTAAACTCTTATGATAATTTTTTAGAAGAGTTTTTTCTCAAATAGTTTGAAGCCTTATTAATTTTACCTATTATATTAATTAACACTACAAATATGATAAATATTGCATATTGTTGTAAATATATGTATTTTACTTCTCAAATCTGATTAGGTATTATAACAGATAATTCTCATATCCTAATTATTTTTTTCATAAAAACGATAATTATTAATTTCACTATATTCTTAATCATTCTATTGAAAATGATCCTTTTCTCTCGATAATAAAATATAATATTAAAAATAAAATTGGTTTATATATCAAACATTCTTATTTTCATATTCTACAATTAATCCTTCAATTAGAATATAAATTATTAAATAGAAATAATATTTCTTATTTAATAAAAGCACCGCAAAAATACTTCTTGATGTAATATAAAATAACATGCTAGATAAACTTTTATAATTTTTATTTATTCAATAAATTCTTTTAGATCAATTATAATCTTAATTTTTAATAGGAAATGATTTTTAGACATATATATGAGATATTAACTAAAAATATATATTGAAATCTTGCAAAAAATTTTATTTATAAACTTTGATCAAATTATTATTTTTCATTACGCATTCTATAAAGTTTATTAATAATTTAAAAAAAAAATTAATATGGAATGAAAAAGAGAGAATGATAATACATTATTCTTATATGATTATAAATATATTGATCAATAATTCATTCTCTTCGGAGTATCCGTTCATTATAATTCTCTCGTTCATTCTCATTCTCTCGTTCATTCTCGTTAAAATCTCCATCATAATGTGATGGGCTTATGGTTTCTTTTAGAAATATAAGGCAAAATAATCCTAATATACATCCAAAAATTATGCCAATAACATATTAATGAAGAAATATTTCAACAATTATGCACAATACTGCAAGTATAATGAAACATATTCCTGCCCATTTTCTTCTAGGCAAACATATTCCTTCTTTCATTCCTTTGCCACATACCTTACATTTTTTTTAAGGTAATTCAAGCATAAACTCAGGACCTGAATAATAATCCATTAAATATATTTTTAATCCAATCATTTATATCAATTAAAATGAGTTTATAAGTACCTATTCCATAAAATTTTAAAACAAAATAATCAAGAAGTTTAGCATTTAATTCAAAAAATCAAATTTCAAATTTAACTAGAAGTAATGAATGTTTATATATGGATTCATTCTAAGAAAATATAAACTAAAATATAAAGTATGTGAAAACTTTACCAAAATATTAGCTTTTAAGGCCATATAATGACTTATTTATGCTGCTTCATATGAAAATGAAGATAGTATTCTAATTCAAGATAATACTAATCTTGATGAATTTATTAATTAAATTCTCAAGAATTTATTAGGCACATCTATATAACAAGTCTGATAAATAAAGCAGAGAAGAAATTTATAAGCATTTTATATTTATCAAAATTTGATCTTTCATCTCTCTTATTTGAAATTTTTTTAAGGATAAAAGAGTAAATTATCTATTCATAATGAGTTTTTTTGATATTTACATAAACAACAGTATATTTATTCTGTAATTGTATATTAATAAAAAAATTTTCTAATTAATATATAATCAATGTCTAATCGTCATTGAAATGCAAAATTATCAATAAGAATTCAAGAATTCTATCATTATAACTAAGGATTTAAATTAGTTTTATTGAATTATATCATAACTTGAGCTTAAATGAATTCTACATTCTAAATTTATAATCTCTTATGCTTCTGATTTATGAATTTTTAATTATTTATTCAATCCATAATTTGAAGTCTTATTTGTTGATAAATCAATAATGATGATAGCCAGAAATTCTCTCCTACTTAACAAATTATAGAGTCTAGAAGATAAAAATATTTTAATAAAATCAAAAAAAACATATATGACTTAGTTATTAAATAGTAGATTGTAAATATTTATATTTATAATTATAATATATTAATATATTATTTGTACACCTCACCCAAAAAAAATCACTCTAAAATTCATAGCAATTTTGAATTCATTTTGTATCATATACATCATTTATTTTAATCTATTTACCTTATACAACTCAAAGAAATTTAATATCCAGAATAAGAATAACAAGAGGTAACCAAAACTTTAAGTCTAAGCAGCATTAAAATACAAGATACCTGCATACAGAAGATAATCTTGACTTTGAATTTTAAAATAATTTTTCTGTATTTTCACCATATTTTATATTAAATTGGTTACTCTCTTGGAAGAAAAATGAAAACCTTCTGTTTAACTCTATATATGTATTAATGATGGTTACCATGCTGATACTACATGCTCTAGATATTTTTTATGTTCTTATGGTTGCGATAATCTTTGTAATATTCAATAGACATCAAATAGGGAAAATTTTCAATTTAAGTTGTCCATTTTTTTGTTAATCTTTTAAAGAATTAAATTTTTTAATATTTATTTTCTATCAATAGCATCCACTATTTATTGAAATATTAAAATATTAATATTACAAATTAGTATTATTGATGCAATTGAATCTTACATAACAATTCAAAATGATAATAAGTTTTAAAAATGCTTCGATAAATCCAAATTTAGAGATAATTATTCTTACAATATTCATTATTTATGACTTTAGAATCTTTAAAAATTCTATATGAATATAAATAAATAGACTTTTAAATTTTATATTTTTACTAATCACTAAATTTTGTCAAATATGAACATTATCAATTTATTTTATTATTTTTAGTTAAACAATAAAGGAAAAAATATTAATGATATAGCTAAATTTAATTAATAAAACTATGTTTACTCTTTTATAATGAAATACAATCTAAAAATTCAATTTTCATATTTAAACTAGCTAAAGAAGGCAAAATAAAAGCTATGATTAATTTTACACCTTTTTATAATGTTAAATAATGTTTAATAGATTTTGATCGTACGTAAATAATAACAATAAATGTAATTTAGAAGTAATTAAATTTGAGTTATTTTCTTTTAAAAAAGGCTGAGAATATATCTAATAAATTATTGTTATTCAACTTAAAATTAAATGATCAACACTATAAAATTATACTCTAAATAGTTTGAAGAATTTATGCTAAATATTAAATGGTATCTTATTAAATATTCAAAGATTAAGAAAGAGACAACTAGTAAATTAACATTTTTTATTAAATATTTTTAATGTTAATCATTTTTTTGGTTTATCCTTCTTAATTTGAATTCTCCTTCTCATTAGAAGTGGAAATGGTTTATTTGGTATCAAAAATTGGGTTTTATATCTATGATACTTGTAAGACTCAAGCACTTAACTCAAATAATAAATTTGTCTCTTTAATTTTACTATAACAAATACAGATACTAAAGGTCTCTAGATAACACTTCTAGTCTTCTCCTATTTATGATGCCAATTACTAGTTAGTGATTTCCAGATGAGTCCATTTAGAACCTGATGGAAGAATCTACTCACCGGAAATATGGAAAAAATATGACTCACGAACAAATTAGAATGACGCACAACAACACCGATTCCAACAGAAAGCATAATACTTAAATAGATTAACATCCATCATTTTGTCAAAAATCAAATAATTAATTAAATATAGAAAAATTATGATATTCTCTTTTATTCTGATTCAAACTACTTTAAAGCCAGGCTATAATTTGAATCTGTTAAATATTTTTAATTAAATTTCAGTATTTTAAAGAACAAAGTATAAGAGAATAT